CAGTCCTGCAGTCAGTAAACATAGGGTCAATTATTATTAAGTGAACATTGAGTCAATTAATATCTCTTTGAGAGGAGTTGAGAATATAAAGTACAGTGTAGAACAATTGCTTATATTATGTCACATAACACTCTTCAACTAAGATATTTTCCTTTATTTAAGATATATCTTTATTGTTGAAAGTGTTACAGATGTCCCTTTGTTTTAGTTTTTGTTTTTCCCATTGATCTCCTCCACCTTGCATCCACTCCTTCTAGGCCTTTGCCAGACTATTGTCTGTGTCCAATGGTTATTCTTATCTAATACATAAAAATCTACAATAGAAAGATTTAGAGGACTTCCTGGAAGATGGCTGCAAGGTAAATACTTGTACGTGCTGCCTCTCACAACCACATCAGTGCTGCAACTGGGGATCTTATCTGAGACCTGAAAAAACCACAACTGTGGGGGCCCCGCGGATTCCACAGAAAGGTTGGATTTTGCCAGGGATTACGTGGGGTGTCTGTGTCCCAACAGCGAAAGCTGCAGCTGCAGAAGCTGAGGCCGCTGTGGCAGCAGAGACAAAAGTGCGTGCGCACGCTGGGACCATGGAAATCTGTGTCCACAAAAGTCCCCCGCTGTTTTGAGAGAGTGGACGGGGGTCCCCAAGGTTGCTAATAGTGGGGTTCTCTAGGGAGCAACCCATTCTGATCTGACACGGAGTTAGAACATAGGAGTTGGAAAGCAGTCTGTTTGTAAGTGCACGTAGACTGGCCCATCGTGCACCTAGGCTGGTTCCCCTGTGACCCTTTGCTTTTGATTACAAAGGAGAGACCACCCAGATTGGCTGGCCCTAAGAGACAGCAGGGGGAAACTGCTTTTCTAGAAGCTGAGAAGCAGAGCTGGGAGAAATCATCCGGGATTCAGCTCCCAGGCAAAAAAAAAAAATCAAACAAACAAACAAACAAACAAACCGGTATTGAGTGCCATAGAAAAAGAAGGCTAGAGCAGCCAAAAAGATGGGGACATCAATCCAGAAACACTGCCACCAGGGGCTGGAGTACAAACTGTGTTTATTACTAGTTTTATTTGATCAAAAACCAAGAAACTAAGGAATCGCCATCTTAAAATCAGGGACTAGTTTACAACACTGAGGTGCAGCAGTGTTGTAAACACTGGGAACTATAATATTAATACTGTCTGGACTGAGAAACAGGCATGCCAAACAGAATAACAGAAGAAGTGAATGGCCTTCACAACTGCACACTTTTTTTGCTAAATTTTTTATTTTATTTTCATTTTTTGCATCTTTTACTTAAGAAACAATTTTTTTCCTCACTTGATTTTAACTTTTTAATTATTACATTTTTAGGTTCAATCAACATTATTACTACTGCTATTTTAATTTTTTTAAGTGCCATTTTATTTTCTCTTTATTTTACATTGGAATTAGTGTTCTTCATTTTATTTTCATTTCTCCTTTAACATTTTTTAACTCTATCTCAACACGACCTTTACACCATCACTCTCTTCCTAACCTTCCTCCTTTTGCTATCCTGTTTATCTTAACCCTTTCCTGCTTTAGATTTTCCCTACTCTTTCTGCCTCCCTCCTGCTAAAATTTCTACCCTGCTTATATATCTAATTTCCAATCCCCTGTTTCAAATGCATACACACCCCTCTCTAAGCTGTATTAACTAGCAAAAAAAAAAAAAAAAAATGTTTTTCTCTCTGTCCTTTTGATGCTGTTTGTGGGAATGTTGATTATATTGTATTTTTATGCTTTTTAATGAGGGTATTTTGCTTATTCTTTTGTTGTTGCTGTTGCTTAGTATTTTCTTATTTGATTTGTTTTTGTTTGTTATTTTTACTTCTGTTTTCCCTTCCTTTGCTGGATATTAGTGGGTGTTGTAGATTTTATTATTCTCCAGGTACTGCTCTGCTGCCAGCATTTGCTGGGTTTAGTGGTTGTTCTATTGAAATTCTCTCCCCATATATATAGTTTATTCCCCTTTTATCTCAAAGTCTCTTTCTTCCCTCTCTCTCTCTCTCTCTCTCTCTCTCTCTCTCTCTCTCCCCTCCCCCTCTTTTTTTCTCCCTGTTTCCCAATTTCATTTTGACTCTCTCTCTCTCTCTCTCTCTCTCTCTCTCTCTCTCTCTCTCTCTCTATATATATATATATATATATATATATATATATATATATATATATATATATTTTTTTTTTTTTTTTCCCTTCATCTTCTCTCTTTACTCTTCTTCTTTCTCTCTTATCCCCTAATTTGCCTTTCCCTAGTGGTCACCTTTATTGGAGGTTATTAATATCCCAAATACATTTCTGTTCAGTGCCTTGTGTGTTGTACCTGGTTATGTTGTATTTTGTGCCTTTAGAAAGATTTAGAGAAAATAAAATAAAAGACATGCCAAGTAAATATTGAACAGAAGAGCTGAAGTTGCTGCATGAATACTGGATACAGGCTTGAAGCCAAAACACAACTCATGAGATAAAAGTTAGTCATTGTAACATAACAGAAAGTTTCTTTCATTAAAAAGATAAGATGGTTCCCAATACTTATTCACATAATAGAACAGTGTGGGAGTTCAGAATGAGCCTCACCAAGATGTGTCTCGGTGGTATGCAAATTTTTGAGCTAAGGGCAATTTTATCTTTAGGCTCAAGTGAAAATTCTGCCCCTCCCTTTAACTTCCTAAAAAACATTGAATTAGAGGCCTTGCCCATAATAAGACATTATCCTATATAATAAATGCTAATATGCATATTGACTGAACAGCAGAATGACCTGTTGCTATGATTCACCTGACCACCAGGGGCAGAAGCTCAATGCAGGAGCTGCCCCTGGTGGTCAGTGTGCTCCCACAGGGGAGAGCTGCTCAGCCAGAAGCCATATTCATGGCTGGCGAGCCCAGCAGAAGTGGTGGTGGAAGCAGTGCTAAGGATGTCTGACTGATGGCTCCCAGACTGCAAGAGGGTGCAGTCCAGGCTGAGGAACACCCCACTTCATGCACTGGGACTCTATTAGGATATAAAAAGCCTCACATGTAATTAACTAACTAATCAAGAATTAAAAATAAGAATATACTAATAAAGCATAGTCTAAAATATTAATAGTTTCATATGTAAGCATGTTGTAGGCAGCAGCAGTTCCAGTTCCTCTTTTTGTTGGCCTCAACCATAGAGGAGTAGCAGATGCTCATGGCTGACCAGGCCTTCAACATCTTGTGCCCAGATATCAGCAATGAAACCCACAGAGAAAGAAAACACCAGACACTGACACACACAAAAGGGAACAGTGAAACCACTCAAGACTGGAAGGTGAAACTGGACATTGACAGAATTCTTTAGTTCCCCTCTTTCCACTATCTCCCTAAAAACCCCTGCCTGCATTGAGATGCTAAGATTAGCTTTAGACAAGAGTTCCCCATCTTCACAGGTGACTATAGCACTTGAATAAACCTCTTTCCATTTTCACCAGTGCCTGTTGCACGAATTTGACTTTTTTTTTTTTTTTTTTTTTTTGACAGCAGGCAGTCAATCTTTGGTTCCAGTTTCAGTTTGAGGATTAAATGAAGCAGTTCATAAAAAATCATCTGTTGCACACTAGGCATTCAATGAATGTTAAAACAGAACAAAGCAAAATCCCAAATTCCTCTCTTTTATATTTTGCCTCAGTGCCATCCTCCTTTGCTATTGTTCCCACATCCTCAGCCCTGACCTATGTTCCTTTGCTCCTGAGCTGGTGAAGTGGCCTCTGTTCTGGTCTCCCAGCCTGAAGTTCCTTCTTCTAAGCCTTCCTCTGTGCCATGGGGACAAGGTGTTCTGCACCCCACTGGACACTCATCTCCCATACTCAACCCTCTGCATGTTCTTCTCTATGCTTAGGATGGTACCAAGCCTCTTGGTTTGGTATTCTTGGCCTTCATAGTTGATTTTTCCAAAGAAGCCCTAAGCTTTTCCTTCAGGACTTTTCTATTCACACCAAGTGGTTTGTCTTTTGACCCCTTTAAAGCAGATCATGTGAGTTCCCACTTACACCCCTTGCCTGTCCCACTCTTCTCCCACTTCTCCTTTCTTTTGTTTCAGAGCTACTTTTCCATCCCAATGACATTGGCCCAGAGTGGTCTCTATCCTCTGATGTCCACCAGGACATCACCATCCCAGTGACACTGTTTTATGTAAGTTTGTCCCTTCATCTTGACTTAGAGCCCCTTGAGGGGCTGTCATGTAAACATTTAGACCTCGGGAATCTATCAGATTGTGCTTCACATAACCAATAAGTCTGAGTAACCGAGGAGAAGCAAAATGGGGTATGTAAAAAGATGGTTCCTCTTGACCTGTCCCCTAACCCCTCAGCCCACACATGTAGCTCTGTCTCAGATAATTGCTCACCATTATTCACTCCTGGGCTTTACTTTTTATTTTCTCTTTAACAACTTTTTGTTGAGCACCTACTATGAACTAGGCACTGTGGGTGCCATAGTGGAGAAAGCATTTCCTAAGTCCATTTGCTTATAGAAACATTATCTCAATTCACTTCATAAGTACTAAGAGAAGGCCAGGGGCAAAATCAGGTTTTGTAGAGCCTAACACTTTCATGATTTGTGGTCCCTCTCAAAGAAAAAAAAATTGCAAACACAAATTGATATTTCAAATGATAAGATAAATAATATATCATTCAATTTTAAACCATTAAGTTTAAAATGCTGACACCACAAACATCACGTAATCTATAAAAAATAACATTTTAATTGATTAATTCTCTGGTTATCCTCTCTAACTACTGTTTCACCTAATATTTTGTTTTTTGTTGTTTTTTTTTTACTTCACTCTCTACAGATGACAATTTTAAGAGATAAATTCTTATTTCCCCTAGCATTACTTTTTGTTGTTGTTTATACTTAGTATTTTATTTGTATGCTGCTGGCAGTGTATATAAAATAATCATCTTTGTGAAATAGAAATTCATGAAGTTTAGAGAGAAAGATGTTAAGGACTGACAAAAGCACAAGTTTCTGTAGTATGGCACATGTTATAGGGCAAGCTTTTTGTACAGGCTTCAAAAATAGCTCTCTTTGAATATTCACCGGTTCATGAAAAGTGGTTTAGAACACCTTCAAAGATTCATTTCACTACAGAAAAGAACAGACTTTCTGGAGTCCACAGGAATTGGTACTTGAAGGTACTCACAACAGCAAGGGGTCATATTAAGCATTGTGCAGACAGAATTGTTTCAAATCTGCATCTGCTTGGGAAATCTTCACACAGTTGAGCCCAGCCTCCAGCTGGAGCTGTTGAATCACTGTCTTCATAGAGGTGGTGCTGGCAGAACCAGATTGTACACAGGAGAGCTGGCAGGTTTGTGGATAGTGGGGTAGTGGGTCCACAGGTTGTGAGTCTTTAGAAGCCAGACAGTGGGACAGTGAAGCAAGGAGCCTCATGTAGCATCATTGATTTAAATTTTTTAAAAATTATTGGTAGTTTACAAAAATGACTGGTTTCCCAGTTTGTTTCTAGTAGAATTTTAAGATTATTGTCAAATTTGGGAAAATAACAATTGGGTTTTTTCCTTACAATAACTTGCACTGAGGACTTTTCAACTTTTTTTGGTACATTAATTTCTAAAAAAGTGTTTGAGTTAGAAACACTTATAAACCATCTTGTCACCAGGCCTTCATTTCATTGCTTCTTATGAGTTTTAGGTTTTTATTGTTACTACTGGTTTGTGACAAATCAATAAGAGTTCAATGTTTTCTCATTTTACTATATAACTTACTTCTCTTCATTAATTGGAATATCAAACAACCCAAAGAGCCTATTCTTTACTTTCATTCAACGTGTATTACTTCCTTGTAATGAGCTACTACTTTAGGTTTAATGTAAAGACAAAACTTTCCACTACTTACTTCTCAATATCAGAATAATTTCTAATTACACTGCTCATCTTATTGACTTTTGTTTTAGATTACATTTATTTTTAGCTGGATTCAATAAATTTAATGATGATCAAAATAAATATCTAAGTTGGAACTCTGTAATTTTTCACTTTTTTAAATATACACTCAAAACCCCTTGCCAAACTGCAAGTGAAACAGTATAGGGAAAACAACTTCCTCAAAATATCTATCTCTTTAAAAACAACAACAACAGCAACAATAAAGAAAATGGTTTGTTTATATTGTGTTAGCTGAATCAAGCACATTTCTATAAGAAGGAATTTCCATTTTGACTAGGTGTCTATAAGAAACTGAATCTTTCACTTATAATTATAAGTGCTTAATGATTGAAAACATCCCACAGATTCCATTTCAAACCTTGTTTCTCCCCTATAATCCACATATATATGTTTGGTGGTATGGAGAGTCTGTAAAGCAATGAACCTTCACCTCAGTGCCAGCAGGCCAGCATAATGGTTGATAGGAGCAGTCTTGATGCAATTCTTACACCAAAACCAGTTTCAGTAGTTCTATACATGCATCTGACTGGAAGCCATAAAAATATACCCACTAGGCAGCTAAATGAAGCCAATCAATCTCCCCTTAGCACCATTCTCAAAATATCATTAGCCTCTCCACTTCAGCCAATGTGAGAGGGAGTGTGATGGAGAGTTTGACAGATGGTGGTCTTAACCCATCTCCGGGTTTTACCAATTTTATAAATTACAACCTGTGTGAACACATTGCTGAAGACCCTCCTAAGTCTCCAAAGGGGCCATAGAAGTGCGGGCTCTGGAGCCAACTGCATTCACTCCATAGTAAGTCTACTTGGCAAAGGGGGTGTTAGTCCTATTTTGACTTCCAAGGACAGGATTCCTTTAGAGAACAGTGCCTCTCAGAGTGAGATCCATGGCCTAGCACCATGAGAGTCACCTTGGCTTGTAAAGATGCAAATTCTTAGGCCCTACCTCAGGTCTATTGAATCAGAACTCAGAAGGTCTGTAGGTAGTTCTGATGCAGACTAAAGGCTTGAGAACTATTGTTTTAGAATGCTGCTATTCACTATGGTAGCCACTGGTTACTTTTGGCTACTCAAATTAATTAAAATGAAATAAACCTGAAAATTTTTAGTACTCAATAGCTACATGATGCCAGTAGCTATCATATTGGACAGTGCTGCTTTAGAATATACATCATCTAGGTTCCCATCCTACCCCCAGTTCCTGCACACTTAGGGTCCAGTTATCTACCTCATCTACAGCATTTGCATGCATTATGTATATCAGCATTATTTATTTGTATCTACTCTTCCATCTATTAAGTGCATGAACTGCCGGGCCTCTGTGCTATTCATCTTTCTATCCACAGAGCCTGGCATTGAGTCTAGTATGTAATGATAGTTTAACAAATGTTTATATAATAAACAACAAGTGAAAAATGCCAACAAAACAATTCTTATTAAACCACCAAGACATTTTCTATGTTTCTTCTATAATTATAATTTGTGTACTTTCTTATGTAAGAATGCTTTACATGTATTATGAATGCTCTGATTTGAAGAAGACCAAATCTGCTTTTCAGTTGAGGAAGGCCACTGGCCTCACATTTAAACTATTATTCAAAGGGTAAATGGGAGCAAACTCTATAAACATAATCTTTACTGAAATAAATTTTTTTTTTACAGCAATCCCAGATTGTTCTTAAAATAAATAACACAGGAGGGAACAAACATTGATGATACCATTCAGTTAATAACACTAAGATAACCAAATTATTACACCTAGTTAAATCATTTTTATCTAGCTCTTGAAAGAAAGATAATTTAATTTCGGGAGATTGGAAGCATTGATTGAGCTGTCAGTCCCTAAGGCATTTATTAGACAAATGAGATCAATGAAAAATAAATGTTTTTTTTTTCATCTTTAATTACCATAGGATTTATAGCTAAACTTGGGAGAGTTGATTTTTAAAACATAACATTTCCCTAAAAGTTGATATCCACAAGACATTGCAGATAAAGTTTTTACGGTGGATCTGACAGAAGGCGGCTTTTGGGTTTTATGCTATATCATCATCTTCCAACCTGCAGTCTTTGTTCTGAGGCCAAAGTCTGCAAAGCCTAGGAGCAGCCAGAGTGCCTGTCCATTACATTTAGAATTGCACAGACCTTCAACAGATTAATTTTAGCTATTATTACAGAGTGCACCAGCTACACACAATGTTTTCCCTCTAGAAAGGAAGAGATTTTTAAAAAAATTTAAAATTCAGCTCTAACAAATGTCTCAGTTTGGGTTTAGTGGAGATGAAGATGGAAGAGAATTTGTCACATTACATCTCAGCCTTTTTCAGTGAGGAACAAGACAAATAATCTTTTTCTTCCCCACTAGGCTGTATTTACACCAATGCAGCCATATCATCATGACAATACCACCCCATCTAGCTTTCTTCCAATTTCAATCACGTTTGCTTGTACTAAAGGTGAGGAAGCCTCACTAAAGGTGGGCAAGACTGGCAGGGGGGCAGTGAGGATAATCACATGCCATGTTCAGCGAGGCCTAATATGTACCTCTAAAAAGACGAGGCTGTGGTGGGCAGGGTGAGAGGAGAGAACTCACGGCAATACTGGTCAGGTAGGTGCCTCATCTCTGCTTTTTTTTTTTTTTTTTTTTAAATATATTTTATTGATTTTTTACAGAGAGGAAGGGAGATAGAGAGTTAGAAACGTTGATGAGAGAGAAACATCGACCAGCTGCCTCTTGCACCAACGTACATGCTCCTGACCAGAATCAAACCTGGGACCCTTCAGTTTGCAGACCAACGCTCTACCACTGAGCCAAACTGGTTTCGGCTCATCTCTGCTTTTTTAAAGTTTTCTCATGTGTGGGGTATTTGGTCAAGTACCTTCCCTGGGTTTAGTCCAGAAACTTCACTGCTACCAAGTCTCAACAAAGGAGAGAATATTGAAAGTGAGAAGCAAGGCCAATTTAGCTTTAATTCTAGGACATGTGTTCTCCTGAATTCAGAGACAGAGGTCTAGACCCATTCATGAGAAAGTGTATTGGAAGAGGCATTCACTCTAATGACAGAAAGACCTGGCTTCAAAATCCAGCTCTACCTCTTACAAGCTATTAATGGACTCCTTGAGCCTCAGTTCCCCTATTTGTAAATGATGAAATAGTATAATAGCAGTGTTAACATAAAAACAAATAACAAACAACAACAAAAAAACACAACACAATGAAACCTGTAAAGAATTTTTGTGAGTTTATTTGAGCCAAACTGTCAATATATACCGGAAAGCAGAATCTCAATAAATTGAGATAATGCTCTGGAGAATGGAAGGTTACATCTATATTTACACATTGCAATCAAAGAGGGACATAGGTAGGTCACATGAAATCCATTGGTAATAGACTAGAGAGGCAGGAGAAAGCCTCTCTAGAGATGTCTCCTCTCATTTTAACTAAGAGTTCCCCACTATCTTTTTGGTCTACAAATCTATCCTAGTAACACCTAGGTCATGCTGTGCTATTTGGCTATTGGGTCACTTCAAATTCCTTTCTCTACTCAGTGAGACTTCTTCAATGTGTGGGCACAACCTCCTATATAAGCACACTTATAGTGACTCTCCCAACCCCAAACTGGTCTCTTTGCATCCCTTCCTAGCCCTCTGAAGGCTTCCAAGGGAAAGTGATCAAGGAGTTGAATCCCCTTTCCCTGTACTCTTCCTCTGAAGCACAGCTATAAACTCTGAAAATAATGTAAGAGTCAAGCAAAGGAAAATTCTGAAAGAAAAAAGATGAATTTGTTTAGAATCCTGGGACTGGAGGAACAACATAGAGGCACAGCATTTTACAACTTCAACCACAGAGAAAGGCCTCCAGACCTAGCATTTCCCCTTGCCACACTCAACTTAGCATTGGAAGCAGACCAGAGAGGCTGATTCTGCCACTGTATTGAATATGAGTCCCTCTGACTACATTCAATGTGCCTAATACCTCTGGCCATTGGGAGTCCCACCAACAATGAGCAGCCAGGGAGGCAGTTGTCTCTGAGAGAAGATAGAATTACTGAGGTTGGGGACAGAACAATAGAATTCAGCCAATATGAACAATATAAAAAAGAAAAAAAAAGATTGGAAATAAATGAACAGAGACTCATGGATTGTGGGAAATAGAAAAGATTCAACATTTGTATCATCAGAGTATGAGAAAAAAAAAGATTGGATTAAAAGATAATTTGAAGAGATGGTGGCTAGAAACTTTCCAAATTTGTTCAAGAACACAAAATAACAGATCCACAAAGATGATAAGTCAAAAGAAAGCCATGCCAGGCATGCCATAATTAAACCTTAGAAGTCTAAAAAATCTTGAAAGCAGTCAGAGGTAACAAACACATGATCTGTATAGGAATACCAATTCAAATGAAAGAGATTTCTCTTTGGAAGGAAGAGAGATTTCTCTTGGAGGCCGGAAGAAAGTGACACATATTTTTCAAATGTTGAA